GGGGTTACAACATGATGTTGTAAATCAGAAGTATGTGTGTCTTTTTAACGTTTGTTGACATTTACGAGTTAGCACATTTTTATCATAGGATGTGTTACAGTAGTCTGCCACCTACTTTTGTCTGTTTTTTATTTTCACATAAAACCTACCATTGTGTAAAAACTCCCAACACGGTAGATAAGGGATAGCATTTTTGCTAAGCAGTGTTCAGATATGGAAACATTCAGCACCTGACTGAAGCTTTGTTTAACTATCAATGACGTCTACCGATATTTATGTTCAAATTTCAATTGACATCTTCTGAAACAGAGGTGTGTATTCAGGGTGACTGATTGGCCAAGAAAAAATATCTGAAAAGGGGTGTTTCCTAATAAAAAAATGAAAAATAACAATTTCATGAAGTGTAAGATCAGGGAGGGTTTAGAACTACGTAACAATTCCCATCAATATATGGGTTAGGGCATAAGGTTTCTTTATATTCAGTTTAGTTCATTGATAAGATTGAAGGGAAGAAATGATGAGGGGAGGCAAATTATGAAGACATAACTTGAGGTTTAAACAATATACACACAGCATAAATAGTGGTCACTAAGTTTACATGTAGAGGACACTGTTCAAAATACACATATACATATATAGGTCATTGTGTCAATAATTGTAGAGGTCATATTACATATACATGCAGAGTTCAACTTATTTGGTCAAAGTATGTACAAATGTATATGTCATTTGTTTTCAGTGTATATAGGGGTCATTAGGTCAAAGTTTACATGTAAATATATGTAGAGATTATCCAGGGTCAAGGTACAGTGATTTTCGGTTGCATATATGTTGGGGTTGCTTAGTTGGGTTAAGGTCACACATCTACATGATGGATCATTGGGTTACAGTGTATATGTACAAGTCATGGATCATTATGTACATGTAAATGTAAAGGTCATAGGGTCAAAGTGCGTAAATCTTGAGTTATATTTGTATTTCTTAAAGAAATGTTTGTGATAACTGGAGGCAATTTGTATGAGAATTATTGGGATAAGATTTATATAACCTCTCAATACAGTATACACCTCACCCTTCCTGAATCTAAATGACTGACACACTCTTGTGAGAGAAATCTTGTTTGCTAGAATAGATGATAACGTGGATGGAAGGTGTTTGTGGGTAAGAAAGGGTTATCAGACCATCAGGTGAAATAGACATTACTTTACCACTTCATAGACAATATCAGATCTTCATCACTGTATCTGACCTACTTTCGCTATATCTGTATATTGAAAAAAGTCTCTGCATACAAACCTTACCATCACAGAAGCAGATCACATGCACTTATCATTAAATTTTACTGTCAGGGAAACTTGTACAAGACAAATATATTTGCAGAAAACAGTTACAGATGTAGTTTTTAATTGATAATATTGACCTTTATCAAAAAGACGTAATTATCAGCATTGTGAACATTAATCATTTGAAAGGTTTTTAGGTGCTGTATTTGTTGGTACACAGCTTGATAGATACACAATACCACATCATAGATCTTACCTTTAAAATGGTGTGATCATCTCCCCATGTAATGCCAGGCCATTTAATAAATGCCATTGTAATGCTATCACATGCTCAGGGGTTAAACAAATATGTTACATAATTTTAACTTTAATACATGATAGTAAAGGGCTAGAATTGTCATGTCACACATCTTTCAATGATTGAGGTAAAGCGAACAGCACACGGCACCCTCTCTGCATTACCAGCATACCTCCATGACTTTTAAATTTCCTAAAAAGTGTTATATCTTGATATGTAACTTTTAACTGATAGCATCAGGTAATGTTTAATTCTTTTGAATCTTATAAGTTACTCAACGTATTAAAGCCAAGAAAATAATAAAATTCACTCACTCAAAGTATTAAAGCCAAAAGAATTCATAAAAATTCAGGAACCTTGAATTTGGGGTCTGAGTTTTAGCTTAATAACCCATCACTGAAAGAAAACATATTCAGTGATATTTAAAGAAACGATATGCATAACAAAATAGTGATTCAGTGAAGTTATAGCTTAACATGAATGAAATTTTTAAATTGTTAACGTCTTTGTGACTTAATCAAATGGAATTACTAGTATCATCTATGTGTTTTTAAGGTCATGATATGCAGTCTCAGAGTGGCTTAATTTTATCAAATAAGTCAATTTTCAGAGGGTTTTTAAATTTTATTAACATAGCTCTGTGTACATCACACAGAGGTTTTAGATTATGTTTGTGTTGACCTGTATCTTTGTGTCTTTACCAAGTTATATTGGTCTGTATCTTTGTGTCTTTACCAAGTTATATTTGCCTGTATCTTTGTGTCTTTACTAAGTTATATTGGCCTGTATCTTTGTGTCTTTACCAAGTTATATTGCTCTGTATCTATGTGTGTTTACCAAGTTATATTGGCCTGTATCTTCGTGTCTTTACCAAGTTATATTGGCCTGTATCTTTGTGTCTTTACCAAGTTATATTGGTCTGTATCTTTGTGTCTTTACCAAGTTATATTGGTCTGTATCTTTGTGTCTTTACCAAGTTATATTGGTCTGTATCTATGTGTCTTTACCAAGTTATATTGGCCTGTATCTTTGTGTCTTTACTAAGTTATATTGCTCTGTATCTATGTGTCTTTACCAAGTTATATTGGTCTGTATCTTTGTGTCTTTACCAAGCTCTATTGGTCTGTATCTATGTGTCTTTACCAAGCTCTGTTAGCCCTGTATCTTTGTGTCTTGATCAGGCTAATTAATTAGTCTGTGTTTGTGTGTTTTATCGCCTTAAATTAGCCTGTGATGGGTATTCTTACAGGATTAAATAAGCCTGAGTCATGTTGCTTTATGTGTTAGTTGGTATGATATATATAACAGGATATATTCTGATGTGCCAGGCAGGATTCTCCTTCCTATTTGTCTAGCTAACAGCTCATTTACCAATTTTGCTCATTCCATCTCCTATTACAAAATATATAAACATCTATTTTTCTGACATGATTCTGTGATAGTGCCTGTATAGACATTAGTGTATATCACCTCCAGCACTGAATTCATCTCAGAACTTCTTGTTATGAGAAAACAATGAGTGGGCACTCACATGGATGTTAGCTTACAGACCAGTTGACATGGGTAATTGGCAACCTGGACAGCCAATGAAGTGCTGCTATTGGTTGTGGTAAAAACTGTATACCCTCTTCTGGCACAGATAAATACACATCCTCCACCAACAACTACAAACATCTTCACTTTTGGGGACAGGTGCAGTATCGAGGGTAGTTCACAGAGCAACACAAGTAAGATGTTGAGAGAAGTTCACAGCGAAGCAAGTTGAATTGGTATGCCATTTTGTTTACACAAAGCAAGGCAAGGAGCTTGATTGCAGTATCAAAGAAAAATTGCATTTGACAGATGACTTGGAAAAGTATTTAATCATTCAAATTCTTTTTTATCTCCATAGAACAAGGTGTCTGTATTAGGTATAACATCTGTTGATTATCTGTCTGTAGTTCTGAACATTTTTCTGTGTCCAAGTGAGCACAGAATTATTATGTAAATTTCATTTTCATGTTTACTTTGTATGATATACATATAGTTTTTTCTCTCAGTGCCAATAATATTCGACATGTGAATTACATGTATTGAAATCATTAAATATTAAAATTATTTTCTAGCATTTGAATTGCTTTTGGTCACTGATGATGCTTAAAGATGATGTGCAAAAAATTGTCTTTCACTTGCTGTTGCATATAGCTTAATTAACTTTCCTGGTTTTGATTGAAGTTTGAATTACCAAGATATTTTTTATAGGTTTAAATTTATTTTTCAAACTTTTGGTATACATTTCTGACAGGATTGATAAAAGAGGTTCTGTATATATAGTATAATGTGGATGTGAAGGACCAGAAATTGACTCAGTGGTCAAGCTATAGATTTAAAGGTTGTCAGGCGTCCAGTCCACAGCTGTGAGTGGTCAGTGTATGATCTATTTCATGGTTAGCCAATTATGACAGGATATAAACAGAGCACTTGGCACAGATAATCTCTACTCTTAATGCTGAGTCTAGCAGTTTGACAGAATGTGCAGTGACCAAGCTGGCCTAACATGTACCAGAGGATTTAATTGAGGAATTGATAAAACATGGAAAAGTTGCTAAGTAGAGGAATGTTAATGAGTAAGTAGCATGTGTTTTCAAAGATCAACAGAATTAAGAGTTGTTACATACAGTTTTCAGTGCATGTTTTACATTACTATCAATTGAAATTTCATTTGAAAGAATTTTTATAATTTATAAGAGATATATGAGAAAGGAGATGAGATGAGGGTGAGAAAGAAATAAAGTGAGGTTAACGACTCAGAAAAAGGGGTTTGGCATTAATATGGAAAAGTCATGTTTCATGGGTATATTAGTCTTAATTAAACAAACATTGGAAAATATTTAAGGACAAAATATTGGCATGTTTGTTTACTTTTCTTTAGAATTTGGGAAATTTGGGAAACATGTCAAATTCATTGTTTTCAAAACATACATTTAATGTTTACAAGTTAATCATGCAACATAATGCTTAATTGAGCTCATTTGTGCAGTTATTGATTGGTAATAAATTTAGTCCGATACAAATGTAAAATTAAGGTGACTCACCAAATGTACAGTGGTGTGATTTTATATTTGCATCCAGACTAACAGTCTAAACACAGAAGGGACCAACATGTTGGCCCGACTTTAGGGTATATTTGGACTGTACTAAATGTCAGTAGACCTGGTGTCTTAAGTCAGTTTTTGATATATTCTTGGGAGATGCTCCACCAAACTTAGCACTGTTCAGATCTTGTGTATAACTAAATAGAATCAGAAAGTGCACACTAAATGGTTTTTATACTGAGGCAGGAGATAGCTGTTGGGAGGGTATTAATGTAGTATACATACAAGTCTGGTATATACTAAAGTAATGTACTAGTAGTAATAGTAGCCATTACACTGTGATAGCTGGACATTCCCGCCTGTCTTCATCTGGAAAATTAGGTTGTTGTGAAACGGAAGCAGTGTGATTTAGTGATGCTCTGTGTAAGGGTTCCAGACATTCAAGCAGATGTATTCACCATCACACTGATGGCTGACTGAGATCTAGTGGGAACGCAATAGTGAGAAGTGGAGAAGGTATTGTTTGGGTGTTGATCCGCAGCTGTCTTACATAGTGATAGGATGCTGGCAGTTCTACGGTCAGGAATGGGAGGGAACACCAGGAGTCCTATTGCACAGAGAAATGTGTAGTAAGTCAAGCAGTTGTAATACATGCAAACTGGATAAGCACTCCTAAAGTCTTCTCATTGTAAATACACCTCTCATCCCAAGGTAAGCTATACATACTGTACAAATAATACTACCTGTATATATGTCTTGTTCTATTTTCTCTTTTCATACCTTGTGTTATGTTCTGGTTCCGTTATCATGTTCCTTCTCTTCCTGGTTACATCTTGTGTCAAGTTCAATTTTGACCAGGCCACACTATCTGTCATGTTCTATTTCATTCAGGTGATATCTTCCACGTGTCCTGGTCATGGACTTGGTTCATGTTATGTTCCATTTCACCCTGGTCATATCTTGTGTCAAGTACAATCTTGCCTTGGTTACATATTTTGTCATCTATGATTGTAATATCCTGTGTCATGTAATGGATGCCTGAATCTATCCTGTACATCTCCTGGTCATGTTACTTCTCTCGCTGGACAATGGTTCATTTTGGGTTCCATGTCACTCTTGTCATATGTCAAGTTCAATGTCCTCCTGATAACATGTTGTGTCATATGCACTACTGAGACTACTGGTACATGTATATATATTCGGAGTTAGGAATGGGCCTATAGTTCATTAGTTTTATAATTAGTTCATTTACATGTCATAATGTTCTTTATATGTGATAGATGTATCATGCCTATCCTTGTTATAATTAACATTTTATAAAAGCATCAGCTCTACATGAATATTGATCTGTATCTAGGTGTATATTACAGAGTAATTGCCCTTTAATTTTAACTTGTATGAAAAAAATCATCCTTATGATTCCTACCCGATATTTGAAATGGTTCTCTTTCATTACAATTTTTTTTAAGGTCCTGTACCCTTGGTATTCTCCCAGAGAATAGTTTTTTTCAAATAATAATGTATGAATTGGTTTCACCAAGACATGTACGGTTAGTTATATCAACACGTGTACATGTAGATTTAGTTAGACTTTAGTTAGTTAAAGGCACTTATCAGGTAAATAATACCCAGAACATGGCATTTAAGTGGTTTGATATTAGAAAAAGTCCAAGGGGGGTTACCAGCTTCCAGATGAGGACATTTTCAGTAGAGCTTAAATGGATTTAAGTAGCAAGACAAATTTAGGGTTTTTCCCCCTTAGTTACCATCATCACAAACCACTGTATTGGTAATCATACACTGTTGTACACTGCCAAGAATTAGAACATATTAATTATATACTAAGTGTGACTATTCCTGAGACTCAGGGACTTGGTGAAGAGTATGTTTGTATGTAACATATGTTTTCTATGACTGGAATCATTTTCATATTATCGTACTCTTGTACATAATGTCATTATATTCCTGCACTTCTCTTATGTTCTTGCTCACTTCAGTTTATAAACTCTGTTTATAACTAAATAAACTCCAAGTGTCTCCATCTGGATGATTGGCTCAATATACCAGAACACCCCATGATGATTGAGGGTCTTGGATACTAATAGTAAGACTGGCTATCAGTGTGATATTTTTTTTGCCAAGAATAGTTCTTCTTGCTTATCTCCCCTACTTTACTTATCTAAGAGGTCTAAAATTTTGATCTCATTTCTTCTTTATAAATTCTAGATTCTAGATTCTAGAGATTGTGGCTATTTTATTTTTATACTTATCACAGAGGTTGTGAAATTTAACTTATATATCTTTTACCAACACCCTGATAACCATAACATACACTGTTTTAGTGTTCTCTATTGTTATTGTTATACATCAGTATAAGAACAAAAATACGATAATTTTTTTGTCGAATTAGACATAATTAAAATTTTCATTTTAGTAATACTTACCATAACTTAAGTATGCAAATACAGTACCTACACACATCTTTGTAGCCCAAACACAAAAATTTTAAAAATCCTGTCCTCCCTACAGTCCCATGAGCCATTACAATTATGTAAATATCCTCTATATTTCTTCTGATCTAACATCCCTTCTAAGAATGACTAACTGACTTTCTCAAAACAAGTTGTTTTAAGAAAGTAAAGATTTGGGATCTTCTCTTTTAACAGATTGTTTGGTTCAATTTCAAACCGAAATGTACTGTTTGTTATTGTAATGTTTTATCGTCTGCTACAAATGAAAAAAATCCTAACAAATACATTTTGCCAAGATTGGTAAATTATTTGGCACGTGTTGGGCAATTTTTCTGGCTAATAGAATATTTGACAGACAACAGATTTTGTGTTAATAAGTGTTGGCAAACAGACAATTATGATAGTATAAGACAGTTCATACAGATATACAATTGTATAATTATCATTTTGACACCTAAGATTGAGCTGAAAAGGCTCATTCAGCTATCTTACTATGGTTAAATTGCAATGTGATTTATATCCTTATAATGAAGTTCACAGGTTTTAAGGTTTTTTGGGGTTTTTTTTTGTGAGATGCTGGACACTTAACTTCCACTGCTTCTGACATTTTTGTGACCTTTTTTGTTTATGTTTATTTGTAGATTCAGTTTCTGGTTCCTTTATTTTTCTGTCATAGAGATTGGCGTTAGAGCTTGGTTTTGTCCATCTCGAAGATACTGCACATTTTTTTTTTTAAAAATTGACTGATATAACAATTGGATTATTGTGAAAACGTCACATTTTCATTTAAAAGAATATGAAAGTATTTTGGTGTCAGTTGCTCTGTTCTTTACATGTGACATTTGAAAAATATAATATTAGGAACATAGGAACATCACCAAAAAAAAGTCTTTCTTTAAAGTAGACTAAAGACAGCTGTGAGCTATTACTCACACAATTAATTGTCATAAAATGTTCAGTGTAAAATGGCTATTGTCTGCATGCCAACAGGAATATTATACTAGATATGTTAGCTGTTTCTTGTGTTGGAGCCATATGGACTGTATCATTGTGTTTAAAAGGCCCTCTTGTAAGTACAAGTCGGTCTTTTACAGTACATGTTGTACATTTACCATTTGATGTTAAAAATGAAATTTAAAGCTGTTAAAAATGTTGATATACCAGTGAAATATGTTTTTCAAAAATCCAATCTTCCAGTGTTTGAATTCATGATTGGTGAAGTAAGCTATACTGCATAAATACCATAGTCTGGTTACTCAAACAGATGGATGCAATACAATAAACATAATGAAAGCTAGTAGCAGTTTGATTTACCGACATGTTGACTAACCACATGTCTCCACCCACCCACCCATTGCAGCATGTTATGTGACTTGTCTATTTAATGTTTTATATCAATTGTATTATAATTCGGCTTAGAATTGGACAATTTTATGATTGTATTTCTGTAAGCTGATGAAGCTTTGAAAACTAAAGCCTGATTAGAAAATGTGGAACAATAATGGCTGTGCTGAACTATACAGTAACCTGGTAGATATCACTGGACTGTACTGGGTACAAGTGTCATATTGATTAGTTTTGAGGGCGATAGCACCATATCAGCCATCAGCTATCTCATTTTCTTGTAAATCAGTCAGATTTCTCTTACAATTTATCTTACTCAATTATGTGGTGTTTACATTAATACTTTAATAGCCATGTATACTGCACATTGTCAAACTATGCCCACACTATAGTTTATAACATGAGTATACTTCCTGGCATGTGTTGTTACTACCGTTTAGCTAGGTAGACTGGAGTTTGCAATATATCTGAAAGCTGTCTTTGTTAATTTTAGTAGAAGCATGTTGAAAAAGAACATTGCAGTTTGGGTTTTGAATTTATCAAAATGGTTGAGATGAAGTGTGTCTTTTCTCTTTATATTGATTGATTTTGAAGAAAGTCATTTATTTAATAGGAAGGAAATGTTTGTCTTTTTAAAAATAAAACCCATGTGCAATTTAGGACACAGATGTCCTTATATATACCAACTGTCCCCTGTAACATGTAAACATTATCAATTTATTTACCAGTAATGACATATATGTAAACCTGCATTAACATTTATATTGCTATGTTGACCACTGAACATGTGAAATTGAATAAAATGTACCCACGGCAATGAACAGAGGGGTTGCTTGGGGTCCAGAGGTCACAAAGGTCACCATTCTTGTGGTCTTTCCAACATAATGTCTGATATGTTTACATGTGTTGTAATATAAATAAATAACCTTTGACAATCCCTGTTGCTATATATACATACTTCTGCTGTTTGAAATGTCAAACCTGTTGAACTTTGCATTAGGTACATATTTTATTTACGATAAACAAAAGCGGTAGCTCTCATGTCGAAGTCGTTAGCGGAGTGTGAGGGGTCCAGGTGGTTATCGGAGTTGAAATATTATGTAATTGTTTGGCAGACAACATTGTGTGAGTAGGATGCACCTTGGAAAAACAAGATATCCTTCTTCAGATTCTAATAAAGGAAGATAAGTTGTGATGTCTGTATATTGGACAACAAGCTTAAATGCTCTGATTCGTACTAGTATGACCATATTTTAAAACTCTCATGAATGGAATTCCTGTATAGCAAAACATAAGGGTAAAACATATTGTAATGCATATGGAGTAAGAGCTCACAGCAGGAAACACTAGTGTATACAAACAAACGTCAAGTTTTTTGTGATACTCCTAGTTTTTGTTTCTTCCGTTTTTTTTACATGGAATGTTCGACAGATAGGTTTACACTTAGTAGCATACTGACCAAAAGACACTGCTATTTAAAAGCAATAAAGCCATTAAGAGAAGGCTATCTGAGTTTTATATTACAGGGACCACACATGGAAGGTTTAATGTGTGTTGTACTTCAATGTGCATCATGTGCAGATGTGGGTCACTTTACCCAATACACCATCTTGTACTTAGGTCAGTGAGCTTTATTGTAGGAGACCAATGGTATTACGTTACAGGTGAAACAGATAAGACAAAATGGGAAATTCCAATACCTTTAAGAGATATATGTACAGCTTGCAATTTTTCGTTTTTTTTATTATACTGCTTTTTCTTAAACAAAGTAAGTATTTATGTAACTACAGAGAAAATAATATGTCTGCAAAAACCATGATTCAAAGAAGACAAAAACTTCTTGACATGCTTCACCAACTTAGCTTTTTTTTTTGTTCAATGAACCATATTTATACCCTGGCCATATTAAGGCATCATCATGCACAGGGTGGGAGGGGCATAAATGCCCATCATTCCCATCCTTATACACTGTCATCATTTTAGAATTTTTTTTTCTTTGGGAATTTAAATAAATCTTTGTTCAAATGTCAACTACAACACCTCAAAGGTTTTCGTGGTACATTGGTTTCTACGGTCAAGGTCACAGTTACTTGGTCAATGTCACAGTTACTTTTTATAGAAATATGGTAAATGTGCAGACTTATTTGCAGGATGCAGGGACATTTGAGTCTTTTTGGCAATTTCTTGTTTGTTTTCACGTAGAAAAGTTTACAACTGCACACAAGTAAAAACGGTCAGTTACACAATCTTATAATAGGATGTTGTAGGTGAGATATCATTCTACCTTTCAAACTATATGTAAGATTGTTTAATTTTTTTTAGCCCACCATCTATTCAAATAGATGATGGGTTATTCAAATCGCCCTGCGTCCATGTCCGTCCCGTTACCGCTATTTCTGGAAAAGTACTGGATGGATCTTTCTCAAATTTCATATGCAGGTTCCCCGTCTAGTTGTGCATTGTACCTTTATTGAACCGTCAAGAACAGGTGGCCATCTTGGATGGAAGTAAAAGTTTGTTACCGCTATTTCTGGAAAAGTACTGGATGGATCTTTCTCAAATTTCATATGCAGTTTCCCCTTGGTCCCTAGTTGTGCATTGTACCTTTATTGAACTGATTCGCATTCAAGATGGCCGACAGGTGGCCATCTTGGATTTTGGAAGTAAAAGTTTGTTACCGCTATTTCTGGAAAAGTACTGGATGGATCTTTCTCAAATTTCATATGCAGTTTCCCCTTGGTCCCTAGTTGTGCATTGTACCTTTTTTGAACTTATTCGATTTCAAGATGGCCGACAGGTGGCCATCTTGGATTTTGGAAGTAAAAGTTTGTTACCGCTATTTCTGAGAAAGTACTGGATGGATCTTCCTCAAATTTCATATGCAGTTTCCCCTTGGTCCCTAGTTGTGCATTGTACCTTTTTTGGACTGATTCAAATTCAAGATGGTCGACAGGCAGCCATCTTGAATTTTGGAAGTAAAAGTTTGTTACCGCTATTTCTGGAAAGTACTGGATGGATCTTTCTCATATTTCATATGCAGTTTCCCCTTAGTCCCTAGTTGTGCATTGTACCTTTTTTGGACTGATTCAAATTCAAGATGGCCGACAGGCAGCCATCTTGGATTTTGGAAGTAAAAGTTTGTTACTGCTATATCTTGGAAAGTACTGGATGGATCTTTGTCAAATTTCATATGCAGTTTCCCCTGGGTCCCTACTTGTGCATTGTACCTTTTTTGGACTGATTTGTGCATTATAGCTTTTTGGTCTGATCCGAAATCAAGATGGCAGCCATCTTGGATATTGAGAGTAAAATCTTGTTACTGCAATATCTGAGGAAGTACTGGATGGATCCTTCTGATATTTCATAGATATTGGTTTCCCTTGGTCCCTAGTTGTGCATTGTACCTTTTTTGGACTGATTTGAAATCAAGGTGGCCCACAGGCAGCCATCTTGTATGTCGACAGTAATACAGCACAAGCATATTGTCCATTATCCACCTGTAACTGACTGCTATCTAATGATACTTTGGGATCTTTTTCAAATGATATTTGCTAATAGGTGCTTAATAGAAAAATCTTGTGCCATCATTGAGTACATTCAATGAAGACCAGTTCATGAACATTTACAACACCTGTAACAAACAAAAAAAAATAAACAAATCTTCAAGAACTGAAAACAGATCCTCAAATGGTGGGCGCCAAGATCCCTCTAGGATCTCTCGTTTTCAGTATTTTCACTACAGTAATATCCAAATGTAAATATTGTATTTAATTCTCATTATTAAGTTTAGTTTGAAGCATTTTTGCACTAACAGTGTAAAGAACTATTTAGCCAAATTTGATCGCTGAAAAAAACTATGGTGACAAGTGATTTGTGGGAATACTGTAGGTAATTTAATTTGGAGGGATTCATTTTTTTGTTACTTTTGAGGATGGAAAATAAAGTATATGTATCAATATTTTGGTTTAATTGCAAACATTTTAACCATTAATAAGAAAAGTCTTCATGCTTTGTGTACACTGTATGTTTAAAACATAACTGTAAACATCTGATCATATTGGTCCACAATAGAGTCGTCAGCTACGGAAGTTTCAAACTTCAAACCTCAGTTTAGTTTGTAGTTAACATCCGACCACTCTGTTTACATCACCAATAAGGATGTCATATGTGTCACAAGTATGTGAGGAAATATGATTGTTAGTTCAGCAGTCTAGGTTAGAGTTTCGCAAAGCACAAGTAAGTTTGTATTTTGTTTGTGATATTACTGTTTTGTGTACATCATTAATAACAGTTAAGAAAAAATTGCCTGGTAATTTACCTCATTAATTTGTTGTTTTGACTGTTACACTGAAATAATATTTGTCACTTATGCAATAGATAATATACATTTCAGAACATTTTCTGCAGGTTGGTAATATCAATAGAATAAAAGTTCTTCTAAAACATCCAGTAGAAGATTAGAGTGTGACGTTTCGATGACTGAATTGATTAAAGTAAATTGTTACCATCTTGCATATTTTTTTGTCTATCATCTGTTTACCTTCTCATTTTTTTCAACCTTAGTGTACATAGGAATATAGTACAGCCGAAAATGTTGGTCGATTCCGTACCACCTCGTACACACCGTACCTCAATGCTAGTCCGTTCCACGCTGGTCCTTTGTCTGATGATGGTGACGACATAGTCATCAAAATGTCACACACAAAGCTTCTACAGGTTTTGTTACAGGAACTTCTGTGCTATAGATCAATATACGATGTGAAAGAGGAAACATTGAAGGAATATCTTTGAATATATTAATAAATTTTATAAAACTGAAGCGTAAATAGTATCAGGGTTTATGGTGTGGTCAGGGATGTTAAAACCAGAGAGAATTATCAGGAGAGCCAAAGGCAGGAAGAAAAAAACTTTATCAGAAAACATCAGAAGTAACTGAATCTTGTGACAGAAAACAATAGTTTCTCTTTTGTTTACACTGGTAATGTTCTTTGAAATATCTCATACTAAAAGTCGTGATTCATAATTCATCTGATGATGTTTTCCTGTACTTAAGAAAAAATCTTTTTTACCACAGGACACCAACAATAACTAAATCTGAAGTCATCATGCTGAGATCCATGATATCCTTCTTACTGTATAAGAGATTGCGACCTTTGAAAAATAAGGATTATACTGCTTGTGGTCAGTTAGTACAATGAAACAGGATTTTCTTCTTTTGTTTATTTTTTTTCTCAACATAACTTAGATATTACAGGTTGTTCCAGGTATAATGATGACGTAAAGGAATATGGGATGAAGATAAAAGAGTCACCTGGTACCACGCTGTTACTTAGCGTTACTGAATACAATGTACTGCTAGATCTATTGGCATTTCAGATAGAACTTCCGACAAACAGACAGGGAGTACAATGTGTGATTGCAATAGAGATATATAGGTAGCCCTATATCTGATTAGGATTGTGCAGCTAACCTGATCCATCTTCATTTGATGTAAACAACCCTACTCTTACAGGGCGACTTGATCTCGCACCCACACTCACATCTAGCTGGTATTTAAACACCCACTATTTTGGAGGATTGGTGAGGGAGTGTCTCTTCTTTTATAAGATTGGTATGAGGGAGGCTTGATTAGGTCTTATTACTACTATGCTTGAAGATTTGTGTGTTGACAAATTCGGGTTGGATATATCTTTAAATCGACAGTGATTCAATTTAGGAACATATTTTATGAAGCAATTTTGTAAAGATGCTCCAGTGAAATATATGCTTGAAATCTTTAACTATTTTAACTGTTACATTGTTAGATGTTCTTTTCTGCAGTCTCATCTGAAAATACATCCTGGAGGCGTTTATACACATAGACATACTTCACTGATATTTATCTCCTAGTAATGTCTTCATTAGCTGCTTAATCATAGTGAAACAGTCACTGTGAATTACTGATAAAATCAGGCCGTCTTTTTCTTTGAGAGACATTGTTTTTTCTATATAATGATATTTGTTACATATTGAATTATTCTAAACTTTAAATATACAATTTTTACTAAAATAAGCCTTCAAAAAATTGCATTAACCAGAGACACTGTTTTATTTTTTTAAATATATGTTTCTGGCATAACTATTTGTTATATTAAAACTGGTCAACCTTTAAGCACTCAATCTTAAAAACATTGCCTAACTGATAGAAGGAATAGAGATTGAAAGATTTTTGTTTATGTATATCTAGTAAGTTTTGTGCCCATTGTACCTACATGTTTTTAGACTTGTCTAATCTATATCTGTCTATTTAAAGGTTTATCTTATCTTCCTTTGTGAACATGTTTATATACTTATCTCCCTTTGTTTGATGACTCATTTATCCCTTTGTGCCATTACAGGTTTGGCCAGGTAGTATGATGGAAGTGCAGAATGATGATATATTAAACACAGAACTGATGCTGATCAGCCAAGATGAAGATGATGCCACGTGTTCTCCTGTTGTTGTTTACATTGTCAGCCATGACGATGGTATTCATTGCCAAATGCGGACTTTACATAGACTCTCAGGTAGACCCACAGGACAATTCTAAGCAACAGACCATCAAAACACGCGAACTCTTCAGTGCTGTCATCGAGGAAAACGAGAAACGCCATCAGGCCAAAGTTGAAGAACTAGAGGCTAGAATACATGCCTTAAAATCATCTCTTGTAGAAGAGAGATGGCAAAATCAAAATTTAACAAAACGGTTGCGTGTCCTTGAAGGGGAAAATGATACAGTTCGGAATATATCTTTTGCTGCTGCCAATGGGACAAGTTTTGCCACTTTTATGAAACAAAATTTACAAACTGCTGAGATTTTGCATGGTGTGGAAATGAAGTCAGAATATGAGGTGTTCTCTTTTAATAGATTTACAATAAACCGCATATTTCTGGTGGACCCTGGGTTGGGTAAGCGTGTGGTCGAGAAGCCTATTGGTTTTAAAAAAAAAGACCTTTTAGAGGTGATTTCATTCGGTGTGTCCGCACTAAATAAGGAAAAGAGTCCAACTGCTCTGAGGAAGTATACTGCTAGTGATTTTATTGAGGGTGTTTTCCGGACAGAACCTACGACTGGAACACATTATGAGTTGTTTTATAGAAACATTGATACATCTGGAAGTGGTCAGTACTCGAAAGTGATAGTGATGCGACCTTTTGGACCGTTAATCCCAGTTAAATCTGACACCATCAGCACACGTCAGAGCTGGATTAACATGATTTTGCCTTTAAAGGGTAGGATCGACTCATTTGAACTCTTTATGAGACATTTCATAGAGACTTGCATCATGAAGGATGAGAAGGTCTTCCTTACCATTGTTTACTTTGGTCAGGAAGGCTTACAACAAGTCCAAAAAATTGTATCATCCACTATGGCACAGTTTGATTTCAAGAACATAAAGGTTTTGAGTTTGAACGAGAAATTTTCCCGTGGGCGTGGACTACAGATTGGTGCATTAGATTGGAAAGGAGGAGATGTGGTGTTGTTTATGTGTGATGTTGATATCGTGTTCACAGTCGACTTTCTGGAACGATGTCGGCTCAACACGGAGCGGAGAAAACGGGTGTATTACCCTATTGTGTTCAGTTTATATAATCCACATGTTGTGTACTCACTTCATGATCAGATTATTCCCCCTGAAAAGGAACAACTTATGATTTCAAAACAAAATGGATTCTGGCGAGATTTTGGTTATGGAATGACTTGTCAATTCCGCTCTGATTTCATGAAGATCAAAGGTTTTGATGAACATATTACAGGGTGGGGCGGGGAGGACGTAGCCTTATATAAAAAATATGTACGAAGTGAGTATATTGTGATTCGAGCCACAGACCCAGGAATATTTCATCTGTGGCATGAAAAAGTATGTGACCCAAATCTTAGCTCTGACCAGTATCAGGGATGCATCAGGTCTAAAGCCCTTAATGAAGCATCACATGCACAACTTGGACTGTTGGCTTTTAAAGATGAAGTGGACATCCATCGTGGTTATAAACGAAGAATGGGTGAACGGGTCTCGTCATATTTGTCAAAACAAAGATGATTCAAAATGCTGTAGTGTAATTTCTCCTGCTCATCCCAAAGCCAACATTATTTTGTTCTGTGAATAAGTTTGTCTCAATCATAGATTTTGGAATTAATTCTGTTTTTTTTCTTTTTATGTTTGGAATCCAGCATATTGATAACATTTCTTCTTTAAGGTATTTGATTGCCAAGTGTGATATGTCTTGATTTGATGTGATTCTTTCATGAAAAGTGTATTAAAGCATTAAATATTAACATTGCTTAATGATGTATTTTTTGTATTAACTTTGAATTTGGTTATCATTTTTTTAGATTTTTTTCTTAAGAATATATGATTTTTGAAAATTCAAAATCCTATGTTTATCACATTTTGCAGGGCCTTTCGAAATATTTACTAATCTATATATATTTTTTTTTGTAAATTCTTTTCTTTTGCATATATTAACTCAGTGGCAGCTGGATTTAAAATGATACAATGTCTTTTACATTGAGGATTATCAAAATGATATTAAAACTGTGTATGATGATGATGATGTCCAGTCGACCTTATCATTGATAATAATTATGTTGAAGCCATTTGTCCCACAAATTTATCCCACAAATTTATCCCTACAATTTCAGGAAAACTATAACTAATTGGTATTTCTCAGTGTCTCTGGTTAGGTATTTGTTCAGTGGTACCAAGTAGCGCATGAATCAAAATATTTCCTTATTGTGACTTGTATTCATTGTGATCAATTTTGTAAGTGCTATTATTGGAAAATACTTTATTGGCTGCAATTTGACCCATTAGAATTGACCGTAATCTTTCATATGTCATATTCATCTGTCATATAATTTGTCATGTATAATTTAAGTCCCAGATTTCAAAATGATATTTATGGAAATTAACACATTCCATGTCATTTCATAAGTGTCAACTCAACAACACAGTAATAACTGTCAATTAGTAATGACTCCTCAAACAACTGGCAACTTAGTGTTGGCGCCTTAAACAATATTGACCAATTATCATAGACTTTACAACATAGATAGGTTTTGATTGTTTCAAAACATTTGATCACTCATTGACAACTGATAACTCACATCCTATGAGCACCTGTGTATTTTGACAATACATTGTCAGATCTTTGACCACCTGTTAATGTCTAATAAAAATGTTGTAACCTTTTAATAGAGACCACCAGATGTCATTATGACTGTTCATTATCAGAACTTGTCCTGTGATCACATGTGTGTGACTTCATAATGACATCATCTGTCTATAATCTTGTCCAGGTGAATTGATGACTGGTCACTTGTATAGTGACCACCTGTGATATTTTGTTGTTTGAACCTGCCAATAGCAATCATATGTAACTGTCAATGATTCCCTTACTAACCTGTCCCATGTAAGATCTTTTCTATTGTTAAAATCTATGGTCTACATTTCTACCATATATTTATGTGGTTGAAGTTTCATGTTTTATTTTTTTCCCTCATACCTGTTTCTAGACAAGTCTCCATTTTCTCCTTTGACCTTTTTTTTTTAAATTTTTTTTTGTGGCTGCTTTAGACAGGTTAGATCATTTTGGCTGCTTTAGACAGGTTTTCACCATGAAAGAGAGATATCTTCATTGTACTAGCTGAGGTGTAAAAGATTAGTGTTAGTTCTTGTATACTAGCTCATGTATGATAGTTCTATGTTCATCCATACCTGTTCATTTTATTGTATTTCATTGTTACAAGGATAAAATATCATTAGTTTATTCATTGATGGAAGTGCAATGTAAACATCAGCAATGTGTAACAGAGATAGGTAACAGTCTGTGCTTCCAAAAAAGTAAGATGTTGTATACATGCCAGAATGAAGGAGAGATGAATGAATGATTCTGTCATGATTTACGATCGAAAGAAGTGTGACTGACTTTATATATGATTGAAATGTACAAGTAAGTGTATAAATAAATGTTTTACAATGTAAGCATTTTTTGATAATTTTTGACGAGAACAATTTTGATGTTTGTTATTTTAGAAAAAAAATAAAAGTAGAATGATTTCTTGTTTCCTGTTTTTTTTTATAATATAGCAATGTTTGAAAGATGTTTACAAACGTGACACATAAAATGCTGACATGCCACAAAAACCTTAAATCAAACTCAAGACCGCAAGAAAGACTTACATGGAGACAGACCTAATATACCGGAGAGCTCAGGATCTTCAACTTCATTAACAGCCACTACAGTGTAAACCCTGATCAAACCAAGTGATGCAACATTCCCGCATGAAAACAAGGTTAGCTAGTATTTCTGTAAGTTTGAGATTAACTTCTGACCTATTGACCTCAAAATTCAACAACAGAAGCTAATTACAGATAGACAAAAATTCAAAGCAAAATACTATTTTTTTAATAAAGAAATCTTTTATAAGATATTGTTAAGATGAACAGCAGTGAGAGATACTTATAACTTGATAATAGCATATATGATATCCATCTGTTGATATCATATCCAAAACAGGTCTTAATTAATATTGTACACAATGGATTTGATCAATATTAATTTTTCAAGCCTTGTGTTGTGAATAATTGTAGTGGAAAGAAAGTGTATTTCAAGACTGTTCACATTAGGTTAAGGGGCAGCGAGTGCATTGGAGATGTTTCATTTCTGATCCAATTAAAATTGATTTTTTCTGTAGTTATTTACCTAGACAAGGTCAGCAGGTGCATAGACCTGGTTCTCATCGCCCAGGAAGCACTGGCTTACATAGGTCAGCTTTTATGTAGAAAATTAATCTATAAGATATGAATAAACAGTGCTAATTAAATATATCTTGCCCATAAACTCCATATGGTTGTAATAAGTAGACGTGATCTGAGGGAGGAAGACTTCAACTTCAATAGTATATTGGAAAGAGGGTTCATTTAGAGGAGGATTTGGGGAGGTTCTGGGGTCGAGGGGATAACGTTCGCTGTGACGGGTGTAGGATCCTTGTGACTAGGTCCTATAAGTGAAAAAAGAGGATTAAAATATGGGATTGCGATTGGATGGTAATGAACTGATGTTAAGATCGATGATATTGTTTGAGAGAATTGATTTTTCAGCACCTGATTTAAACATATCAATACTTTCTAAAGGGTTATTTCATCATCAGACTTTGGAATAGAAAAGAAACGTCAGCTCCAATCTCATCACTTTACTGTCAATGGTAATGAGCTTTTTGATTAAATTGTAGAGATCGGATTCTGTTTTATTTTTTTGTAGATGGCATTTCCGTCGTCATTACGTACGTTTGGAAGTCTCTACTTAATTAATTAACGTTGCTTGGAAAAAGGTCTAGCGTATAGCATTCGTTGATAAAACTTTTATCAGGGCTGAAGAGTTATTTCCATTTATCACCGACGGAAATTAAATAAAACTATTGTCAGTTATTGTTCCGTTAACTCAAAATAAAAAAAAACTATTTGATCGCCTATTCTAGCTCACTTAAAAGTGCCAAGAGTCGTCAACAGTGTTGAATCAAAGACAGTGATATGGACTTGGGTTTAAGGCGAAATGGAAATTCCTACAAGATATGAAATATCCTTATTCTATTTAGGTTTTTTTTTTTACCTCGGGACTTGGTGATTTATTGGTGTCATATTACAATGCATTTGAAGAAGTTCGTCCCGTTCACTTATATAAAACATCCTATTAACAAATGGCTAAACGACGTGAAGAATGACACGACTTTGAATTCTGCTAGTGATGAAGATGTCTTAATCTTTTATGTTAGAAACAGAGAAACCGAGAACACCTAAACATTACTTTGAAACGAACCAAGTAGTTTTTAATTGGCTGTATGATGCATTTTAAGTACATGTTTGACTCTTCTCTATCTAATTTTAAATGTCTATTTAAAGGATGTTGTTCTTTTGTGTGCCTTTTGTACAATATTGGAAGATGGTCAGACGCCTAGTAACGCTGGCAAATGTTGGGGATGAGCAAGGATGCAACTCTAACCTTGTCAATCCCGAAGTTTGGTGCGTTAAGGAGCGTAGAAAGATATGAGAAGTATCCCGACAGTGTAATCAGTGATCCGTGACGTCTATTGCACAATTGTTTAATGACAACTTCAATGACGTAAGCGATGAAAAGAGACTTCATAATCACATACGATCTCGAAAGATCCGCGAAGGTAGATACTGCAGATAAACTTAGGACATGAATTATAACAAGATAATTCACAACAAGGGAGATTTGTGAAGGTAGACACATCAGGTAAACTTAGGACATGAATTATACTTCCCAACCACATACAGGGGAGATTTGTGAAGGTAGACACATCAGGTAAACTTAGGACATGAATTATACTTCCCAATCACATACAAGGGAGATTTGTGAAGGTAGATACACCAGGCAAACTTAGGACATGAATTATACTTCACAACCACATACAAGGGAGATTTGTGAAGGTAGATACATCAGGTAAACTTAGGACATGAATTATACTTCACAACCACATACAAGGGAAATTTGTGAAGGTAGACACATCAGGTAAACTTAGGACATGAATTATATTTCCCAATCACATACAAGGGAGATTTGTGAAGGTAGATATATCAAGCAAACATAGGACATGAATTATACTTCACAACCACATACAGGGGAGATTTGTGAAGGTAGATACATCAGGTAAACTTTGGACATGAATTATACTTCACAACCACATACAAGGGAGATTTGTGAAGGTAGATACATCAGGTAGATACACCAGCTAAACTTAGGACATGAGTTATACTTCACAACCACATACAAGGGAAATTTGTGAAGGTAGACACATCAGGTAAACTTAGGACATGAATTATATTTCCCAATCACATACAAGGGAGATTTGTGAAGGTAGATACACCAGGCAAACATAGGACATGAATTATACTTCACAACCACATACAGGGGAGATTTGTGAAGGTAGATACATCAGGTAAACTTTGGACATGAATTATACTTCACAACCACATACAAGGGAGATTTGTGAAGGTAGATACATCAGGTAAACTTAGGACATGAATTCTACTTAACAACCACATACATGGGAGATTTGTGAAGGTAGATACATCAGGTAAACTTAAGACATGAATTATACTTCACAACCACATACAAGGGAGATTTGTGAAGGTAGATACATCAGGCAAACTTAGGACATGAATTCTACCTTACAACCACATACATGGGAGATTTGTGAAGGTAGATACATCAGGTAAACTTAAGACATGAATTATACTTCACAACCACATACAAGAGAGATTTGGGAAGGTGATACAAGGTAAACTT